GCAGATAGCGGAGAAGAAAAATATAGTATGCCCTAACAAGCTATAGCCAGTTTGCCCTGAAGGGAATCATGTCAATTTCTTGCTTAAAACTTAAAAGCAAGGCATGGTGGTGCACACCTATAATTCCTGCACTTGGGAGGCTGAGGAGGGAGGGTGGAGAGTTTAACCTCCTGGACTGTATGTATAGTAAGACCCTGCGTAAAAGAAACACACACACACACACACACACACACACACACACACACACACACACACACACAGGGCATGTACATATTGGTGGTAGAAAGAGAGGGAGGATGTTTAGAGACTTAATCATAAAACCTACACATTAAAGAAGTTCACCTGCTAAGCCTGTTTTTCAGGTTTCTTCAATTAAAGTACTAACACAGATCACAATATATGGAGAACTGTGTTGCAGATCAGCATACAGCCATATGCTGGTTGCAAGATGCACATCTGAAATGATGCAGAATGAGAAGAAAACAGTAAGGAAACCATGACAACAGCTGATAGAGTAGGAAGGAAGGCAGAAACATTCATTTCCATTAGAGTAAAAATGCCTCTATGGATAAGGAGAAGCCTTCATGAAGATAGAGCATTCTGGGACATCCGAATGTCTTCACATCAGCACACCTGAAGAAAACCCGTTCACACCACATGCCCTGGATAACTGATGGGGACACAGGAGGGATGGCAGGTTTTAGCTCAGTTTTCTCAGTTTCACGGCTGATGTCAAAACAGTATTTCAGTAGACATTGAGAAATTTTTTTTTAATGTGACAGAAATGAACATTATTTCAATTGCTTTTTTCCCCAGTACTAGGAATTGAACCCTGGGCCTCACACATGCAGGACAAGCACACTGCTCCCCAGAGATGCACTCTCAACCCTCAGTACACATTGTTTTAGTTTTACGTGAAAATTTTGCAAGAGGTGGTTCTGTCCTATGGCATAATGGAAGCCCTCAGCATAGTCAAAAGCAAAATTCTAGGATTCATGTCCCTTGACCACAGTGATAATGAAAGGACACGTTCCATTAACACACTCTTCCAAACAACCTGAGAGTAAGAGAGAAAATGAAATATTCAGTCTTGAGAAACATGCACAGAGTACAGTTGAGATTTTCCTCAGGGAAAACATCCCCCATGGAGAGCAGAGCTGTTCAACAGCAACACATTAGGGGCACAGAAGTCTTTGCTGGAGGGGCAAGGGTGGAGGGCAGCCATCCTACACACTGCATAGAGTTTAAGAGCATCCTTCACTACTGCCCACCAGGTATCAGGAGAAGACCCCAGCTGTGAGAATGGAAAATGTCTTTGGACACCTTCAGATGTTTCCCCTTGGTGAAGTTGCTTCTGTTGAACCCTTGATCTAGAGTTAGGTGTTTCTATACCAAATAAAGAAAGCACTGTATCAAAAATAAGCGCTGACACACTCGGTGAACGTTAACGGGACAAGCAGTCGGGGTTCACTAAGGATCAGGGAAGCAGCTGAACTGAATTTTCAATGGAAGAACTCCTTCTTCTGATGCCCTTCTGGGCCTCCACAGGCACTGAACGTGCATGGCACGCAGACATACATGAAGGCAGTACACCTGTACACATAAAAATATAAAATCTCACAATAGTAACAGGTAAAAGGCCCTTCCCTTCAATCCTGACAACCCAGCACCAGAGTTGTCCTTTGACATCTGTAGACACACGCACACACACACGCACACGTAAAAAAAAATTATGGTTTTGTTGTGGAAAACAAAGGTTTAATATCTTCCCACTTCCTCAGCATTTAAGTGTTAAATCAGTACAGCTTTGGATTCTACTTTTATAGAATGTTTGATTTTTTAATTGCTTTTTGAGTTGCTCTTGTGTTTCATAAGACGTTGTTTGGTGAATTTTGGCTTAGGGTTAGGGCAGGATCTTCAACTTGTCTGACATGGTGCTAAACATACTTTGGCCCTTGTGTGCTATGTATTTATGCAAAGTGGTTTCAGCATCAATAATTATAAAAATCAAAATACAGATCAACTCTGAAACACATGGAAGATGTACTCCATCCTGAAATACCAGAGTTCAGCCAAGATTTAATTCTTCATGTAAAAGTAAATAAACATATTTGTCTCGTTAGTATGTAGATTTGCCTTCATCTTTCATGTGTGCCAAAGACTTGTTTTCAAATAAATCCCTTCACAATTTCTCATCAGTTAAGTGTTGGACTTGTACACCTATTTTATTCTGTTGTATCCCCAGGATCATGTAAAAGTCTCCTGGATGATAAAGGGGTCACATGTGAGTTACGGGATTTCCCACCTGGTTGTGCAGCTGCCTTGCCCCAAATGAACACTCAGAGATTTATATTAATTATAAAACTGTTGGCCTGTGACTTGGGCTTCTTATTGGCTAGCTCTGTCTTAATTGTTAACCCATTTCTATCAATCTATGTATTCCCATGTGGTCTTGACTTACCAGAGAATGCCTTGTTCGTCCTCTCTTCCCAGGCTCACATCGTGACCCCTGTCTGCCTACACTTCCCAGAATTCTCCTCCTCTGGTAGCCCCATCTATCCTTCCTGCCTGACCTAGACATGCTCATAGAAGATTATAGACCCAAAATTAAGACTATAATCTAAACAATGCAATCGATGCTAGTCAATAGATGGTGCCCTATTGCATCATGGCCATAGCCCACCACTTCTGTAACTAGAAATTCAAGACAACGCAACAAGAAACATAATTAGCCACTTATAAGGTGCTGGAGTCTTCTTCAAAACTCTAGGGTCAAAGAAAAAATAGAGAATGAAGTGCCTATATATAAAAGAGATCAATAACAAAAGTCTTATACAATATTCTTTGGGGCTAGAGAGATAGCTCAGCAGTTAAGAGCACTTATTGTTCCTGCCGAGAACCCGAGTTCAGGTCCCAACACTCACATGGAGGCTCACAACTCCAGTTCCAGGGAATCTGACACCTTCCAGCTTCCAAAGGCACCAGGCAGACAAGTGGTGTATGGACATGCACGCAGTCAAAACACCCATGCACATAAAATAGATCAAAAATAAAAAATAGATCAAAAATAAAAATTCTTACACAGTAAAGTCTATGAGAAATACTTGAGGACAGTTTTTGCATTAAAATGTTGTTCTTAATTGTAGGGAAAGTACCTGTGAAGGCACCCATGCATAGTGAATGTGTGGGAGCCAGAGGTCAGCATCAAGGTTCTCCTCTACTGCTCTCATTTTTCTTTTTCCCATTTTCATGTGTGTGTGTGTGTGTGTGTGTGTGTGTGTGTGTGTGTGTGTGTGTGTGTACACATGCGAGCGCATGTTTACATGTATGTGGGCACTTGTGTGTGACTGTGTGTGTACATGAGTGTTCATATGGAGTGTTCCTCCGTTTGTCCTTCTGCTTTATTCATTGAAGAAAGGTCTCTCGATCACATCCAGAGCTCAGTGACATGGCCAGCTTGCTCTGAATATTCTGTCTCTGTCCTCAAAGCTGGAATTACAGGTGGGCCACCATGTCCACCTGTCATTTATATGAGGTTTTCGCCCTCAAGCTTAACCACCAAGCCATCTCCCTAGCCCTGCTCTCATTTTTAAGACAGTGTCTCCCCATCTTAAACCCGGACCTGGCAATTCTAGCCAAGACCCCAGGATCGATCCAAACATCTCCATTTCATCCCTCCCCTCACCCCACCTCCCAGCCCTGATGCCGGGGGTCACAGAGGAACACCTAGATGCTCCCTTTTTCCATGCATGCTAGAGATCTGAGCAGGGGTCCTAATGCTCGCAAAGCATGCTCTTTACCCAGTGAGCAGGTTCCCGGCTATTAACTTTTAAAACTACAACAAAACAAAGGGAAATAAGTGAATTTTGAAATATAATTCAAAATTGGGGGGCGGGAATTCAACAATAATCTTTATAAGCCAGAAGGAGAGGTTAACAAAGAGAAAATTAGATATTAAATAGTTAGAGACCAGAGAAGGAGAAGGGCTCAATTTGAGATCGTGTTTCTTTGTGACAGGATCTCACTATGTAATTCAGGCCATTCTGATGTTACAAGCATGTGCCACCATGCCTATAGATATCTGATTCTTTTTGTTGTTTTCTAGGCAGGGTTTCTCTGTGTAGCTCTGTCTGTCCTGGAACTCACTCTGTAAATCAGGCTGGTCTCAAACTCACAGAGATCCCACTGCCTCTGCCTCCTGAGTGCTGGGATTAAGGCATGCACCACCAGACCCACCCCACACTCACCCCGTATGGGGATTAAAGGCCTGTGATCTGATTCTTTCAAAGGGAAGTTTTGGAACCCCACATAAAATAGAAAGCCTATTCACTTGTTTAATGAAGAACAAGTTGAGAACATGCAGGCACTTAGAAATCAGAGAGCGGAAATAACAAATGCAAAGGAAATAAAAGTAATTCTTAAGCCTAAATAAACCATGCAGGTATACTGTGTTTGTCTGGCTCAAGAGCACACATTATTCTAAACCTGCAAAGTAGTCAGATTACACATCTTTCAGATGAAGAAACTGAGTCCCAGTGAGGTCAAATTTGGCTGGTGTCACCCCCCTGGCTAGGGACTGGGCCAGGATTCAAAAGTGGGCTTCTAGCATCTGCACTTTTGGCTCTGCATTGCTGCACAGCCAACAAGGCAGAGCATGGAGTTCAGCATGGAGTTTGTATCATGAGATGATCCATTCGTAGCTGGACTGAGTTCCTGTAGGGGCGGCATGCTGACCATCTACCCAGGGCAGTTGCCAACAGTGTGGAAAAGTGCCAAGGGACCCTAGGGACTTGGCAGTGCTCTGCATCATGCAGAGGTCGGGGGGAGAATGGAACTCCACCTTCAGATTCTCCTATGGGGATCCCTGTGGGAAGCACAGTCCAGTGTGGAAACGGTGACTTGCCACCTCTCACCCACAAGTTCCTCCTCTGAGACTGAGAGGCAAGTGTGGTGATTGGCAAGGCAGAGCCTTCTGACACAATCACCCTGTCTTCTCTCAGATCCAGGAGATGGTCCACTCGGAGGTAGCTGCCTATGACTCAGGCCGGCCAGGGCCCCTGCTGGGCCGCCCAGCGATGCTGGCCAGCCACATGAGTGCCCTCAGCCAGTCCCAGCTCATCTCTCAGATGGGCATCCGGAGTGGCATCGCCCACAGCTCCCCATCACCCCCAGGGAGCAAGTCGGCAACCCCCTCTCCATCCAGTTCTACACAGGAGGAGGAGTCGGACGCCCATTTCAAGGTACATGATGTGGAAGGGTGAGCTACAAGGTCCCTCCCCACTGGAGAAGGGGCTCGGCCAGGTCATGGCATCATGTCCCTCTGGGAACAACAGGAGGCTTAGTCTTCTGTTGGAAAGCAGGAGTCAGCACATGGGCCTCTGGTCAGAAGAATGGCACCTGAGCCCTAGGGAAATCAGGCTGTGGCTACTGACCCTACTGGAAACCCTCTCCTCCAGTCAAGAGGCCCAGAGCCCAGCCACAGTGTCCATGACAGGAGGCCCTGAACTGACCAGGGTTCTGTGTGCTTCTCCTCTTCCTGGTCCAGCATCATTCTCAGGATGAGCTGGCCTGTATCACAGTCCATGTGGGGATGAGTTCCTTCTCCCTCACTTCTTCCTTCCCCTTACCCTCTTTTCTACCACCCCGCCCCCACCTCCTTTTGCCATCCTTGGTTTCTACACATTCCTGGGGACTTAACCTAAATCCTTGCCTGTGCTAGTCAAGGGCTCTCTTGCCAAGCTGACTATGGTTTCTGTTTTGTTATTTTAGTTAACAAACATTTCTAGGGTCTGGAGATAGAGCTCAATTGGCAGAGTGTTTTCCTAGCAGGCTCCGAGATCTGGATTCGATCCCCACACCACATAACCTAGATGTAGTAGAGCATGCCTGCAATCTTAGCACTCAGGGAGTAGAGGCGAGGGATCAGAAATTCAAGGTCATCTGGGCTGGGGAGATGGCTCAGAGGTTAAGAGCACTAGCTGCTCTTCCAGAGGTTCTGAGTTCAAATCCCAGCAACCACATGGTGGCTCACAACCATCTATAATGAGATCTGGCGCCCTCTTCTGGCCTGCAGGCATACAGGCAGACAGAATACTGTATACATAATAAACAATTTAAAAAAAAGAAATTCAAGGTCATCTTAAAGTCCAGTGTTATCCTTAACTACATAACAAAGCTAGCTGTCTCACAAAAACAAACAAAAAACCAAAACTCTATAAACCACAGACCAGACACTTCTTTCTACAAGCACACAGTAAACACCCATTCCTCTAGTCCACATAACAGTCCTACATGGTAGGTAGTATTCACTATCTCCATTTGGCAGATGGGGAAACTGAGGCATGGAATAGTTGATTAACATATTAGTGCTGTACAACCCGAATTCATACCCAGATAGCTGCAATGCAGCCCGGTGTATGCACCCTTAACAACTGCCCTGTCATATCTGACAGCCTTTATCAATTCAGTGACTGCCTTCAGAACTGGGGCATTGAGAAAGTGCCCCTATGCAAGCATGAGACCCTGAGTGCTAGCACTGGGGAGACAGAGACAGCAGGATCCCCAGGGCTTGCTGATCAGCCAGCCTAGCTGAATGGGACACTCCAGGCCAATAAGAGACCTTGTCTCAAAAAAGAAAATAAAAAGAAGAAGGAAAAAAAAAAGATGTACAATACTTCAGTAACCACATTTGAGATGGACAGCTGTCTTCCACACCCATGCGCATACACAAGCATGCACGCGAGCGCGCACACACACACACACACACACACTCGAAGAGACCTGTTTCCGGTGCTCACCTTGCCAAGGCTTCACCAAGGGCTAACGGGGTAAAAGCCTAGAGAGTTCCCCAGGGACACTTGCAACAGAGCCATCATTGCCGCAAGCCCTGCCAAGTTCCCTGCCTCTCAGACATGAGGTCTGAGTCTATCCACTGGTCCAGAACTTGCCATCTGTTTATTATATTGCCTTCATCTTGTTGGCATACAGAAGCACAGACCTCATTGTAGGATCCAGGCCTTGGTTCAAAGGCCTAAGAGTCCCCACAGAGAACAACAGGGGTCTGTGAAAAGCATTCCAACACCTCCTCATCCTGGAAACCCTAAGTCAAGTGTGTTTGAGACCATGACCTAGAGCCTGTTCAGGTGGATTCTCTGACTGGGTGGCAGCCCTGTTGCCCTTGCCCCTTCCCAGGGGGAGAGCCATTGTCTAGAGTCGCACCCAAAGTGTAGTGAAGGTGGTCTGCCCTTTATAGTTAGAGGCATTAGTTGGATATTATTTATGATCTGTGGCTGCCCTTGGCCACCACTAAGTCTGAGTATTGGGTGAAAGCTTGGGGATTTGGATGAACAACAAGACGCCCTGGTCCTTTTCTGAGAGAATGTCTCCCACCTTTATTGTGGAGCAGCCTTATACACAAACTTACAAAAACCGCAGGTAAAGGGATCACAACAGGATATTGATGCTAGTGGGGTGAGGTCAGGAAAACAGGAGGTACCTGTGGCTATGCTGGAAAACAACTCTTAGACACCCCGTGGGGGCTGGGTCCCAACAAGGGTCATGATGGGGCATGGCAGAATAGTTGAGAAAAACATGGAGACCCCGGAAACAGGCCCCCAGCAGCTTGACCTTCTTATTCTTGCAGATGCTAAGGGTCTGAGAGGTGCATGCAAGACCACCTCATTGTCTAGGAGAATGGACCGTTGGATTCTTATTTCCATTTTGTGAGACAGGGTGTCCTTATGCTGCCCATACTGGCCTTACTATCTCAATCCCCCTGTCTCAACCTCCTCAGTACAAGGCTTACAGGCATGCACCACCATGCCTGGCTTTAGGCCTCTGTCATTACTCAGTATTGGTCGGGAGACTTTGAAAGTCTGCAAAGATAGATGTTAATGTGGCGGGGACAAAGTGCTAGAAAAACAGAAAAGGGTTTTGCTTAAATTTGGAAGTGATATAAACACAAATGGTTTCTGTCCCTGGGGAAGAGTAGAGAGTCCCAGAGTGCTGATTTTATTGCTGTCTAGGACACTGGCTAGCCTCACCGACACGTTAGTACTCTTCGCTCAACAGTATATATGTCAACCTGTGTTTATGTGTCTGTTGCCACCCTCCTCCAAATGCATGACAGTGCAGGCTAAGCTGCCTGGGTACGAACCCCTGGTGGGGCAGCCCTTTCTCTGCCTGGGAGAGACCAGGGCTGGATGTGTCTGAGGTTATAGCTGCTGAGAAAGCCTAGCTTGGCCCAAGGTTAGCTAGAGCCACTTGGGCTAGGAGTCCCTTGACTTCCTTAGTTTACTGACTCCTCTCATCTGGTAGATCTCGGGAGAAAAGAGACCCTCAGCAGACCCAGGCAAAAAGGCCAAGAACCCAAAGAAGAAGAAGAAGAAGGACCCCAATGAGCCACAGAAGCCTGTGTCGGCCTATGCTCTCTTCTTCAGAGACACTCAGGCCGCCATCAAGGGGCAGAATCCCAGTGCCACCTTTGGGGATGTGTCCAAAATAGTGGCCTCCATGTGGGACAGCCTAGGAGAAGAGCAGAAACAGGTGAGCCTTGGTCCCCTTCAGAATTGTCCCTGAGACTTCGGGCCCTGCAACCAAGAGCGTGATACCAGGCTTGGCCTCTGGGACTAGAGGCTCCTGCATAGGGGCTTGTATGCTTTGTTTGCCCATCTATAAGCTGGGAAGCAGGGTTCCTTCATCCCTGATGATCCACAGTGCTGTGCACTACTGCCTTCACTGGGCCCCTGCTCCCCCATCCATAAACTAGGGAGCATCTCCATCCACACTGACTCGGACCTTTCTGATCCACTGGCCGTGTGGTCTCTCTGAAGGCCTCCAGGTGGAAGGGAGCAGGGCCGGCTCATGCAGTTGGAAATGCATTACCAGCTAGTGACCTCAGGCTGACTACCTAACCTCTTTGAACCCTGGCCTCCCTACCTATTGACTACCATGCTTGGAGCATGCCTAGGCTAAGCACCATGGGGGCCCCCCTCCATTACCTTATTGCATCTTTACAGCACCCCAGGGAGTCACCATCCATTGGCTCTTTGGACAGTGGAGGGTGTGGTGAGGACTCCTTAGGATTCTGTCCACAGAACAGTAACAAGCTGGGGGCAGAGGAATGGATCACAGATGTGAGTTGGGCGTGTCCCTTATCCTATTTGGCAATGTGGAGATTTTTGTGGAATAGTCTAGAGCTGGTAGTTTAGGAAATAGTCTAAGGCTTGCTGGAAAGAAATGGAGACAGACAGGGCATGGCAGAGGACATTGTCAGAGAATTCCCAGTGTGTGCAAGAGGAGCTCTGGATCCAACCCCTTGTCCTTGTTAACCCGCCTGAGCTGCAAGGGTGCTGGATGAACCCCGGCTTTGTTAGCCATTGGCTGAGAGCTGCTCCAGGGGAGCATAATCCTCTCACATTTCCTGTCTCACTTATGTGGCAGGCCGGGGTCTTGCTCCTAGGAAGAGGTCTGCGATGGGGACTTTGCTGTTGCCTTGGATGCTGTGAGCTGCTGCTGCTGCAGTGGGAGAAGCCAGGGAGGCTGGCAGCCTCCACTCTAAGACCTTTGCCATTTTCTCATGTTGTGGGTTGTACTGGGCTCAGCAGGGTGGTTCCTCAGCCACCCTTGATGGGAGCTGTTTATGCTCCTGCAATCAGCTGCAACACATGAGGCATCTTCTTCAAGATGGCTGAATCTTGTGTGACTAGTCAGGTGTCTTAGTCACTGTTCTATTGCTATGAAGAGACACCACAGCCAAGGCGACTCTTATAAAAGAAAGCATTTAAGTGAGGGCTTGCTTACAGTTTCAGAGGCTTAGTCCACTATCACCATGCCAGAGAGAGAGAGCGACATCCTGATCTGCAAGCAGAAAGAGAGAGACACAGAGATAGAGAGACTGAGACAGAGACAGATAACAGACAGACAGAGAGAAGTAAAAAGACAGACAGAGACAGATATATCCTGGGCCTTGCATGGGCTTTTGAAACTTCAGAGTCCACCCCTAGTGATACACTTCCTCCAACAAGGCCATACCACCTGATCCTTCTCAAATAGTGCCACTCCCTAGTGGCTATGCATTCAAGTATATGAGCCTATGGGGGCCAATTTTATTCACACCACCCTGCCAGGCTTGTTCCTAGAGCAGCCAAGGGCCATTCCAGAGTCTAAACACTTTTCAAGTTTTCTGCATTAGTTTGTTATTATGCCACTGGCCGAATAGTCTCAAAACTGATCCCCAAATCACTGTGAGAAAGTTCTACTTAAAAGGCAGGGACAGATTGAAGGTGAAACACGCTAGGGCCATTCCTACAGTAACTTGTAAACCAAAGTCTAATGCTAATAGTAGCAATCATAGCAAAATATGAGTAAGAGCAGGCTTCGTGTCAGAATACAAAGGGCAGCATTAGCATGTTGGTGTTACGCTGAGTCAAAAGAGAGGCTTCTGGTTGACTTGTCTTTCTGTAGTCACTTGTGACAACATGATGGTTGAGGAACTGGAGTGTAGCCTGGCTCCTATACTCCTGCTGTGATACTCTCAACAGAGAGGGGCCGGGGGTGACTGACCCAGCTTCTGACCCAACAACCTTCATTCATGCCTGGCCCTGGAATCCCTACTTGTCATCCCAGCCTCTGCACTGAGGCTCCTCTGTGACGTTTTCTCCAGAGTTGCCCATGTCTCGGATCTTTCAGGCGTATAAGAGGAAGACCGAAGCTGCCAAGAAGGAGTACCTGAAAGCCTTGGCGGCCTACAGAGCTAGCCTTGTCTCCAAGGTAACGTAATCCCTAGGCAATGTCCTGATGACATGCACCACTGGAGGGATAGAGCCAAGGTTGGGGCTCATGGGAACAGCAGGTAGCACTGACCTCAAAAAGGATGAGTGGCACCTGTGTGTCACACCTTGGGAGCACCGCCAATGTGGCAGCCTTCATGTGAAGTTCATTTCATTGACTTCCTTCAGCAAGAGGGGCTAGCACTCAGGGGGCTCATCAATGAGCCTTGGATTGGCCATTCGAATGGCTGTCGTAGGTTCAAACACAGCTTTGCCATCTTAACTCCTGACCCTGCCCTCTCCTTCTCTGTCCACACCAGGGCCAAGGTGTGGTTCTGGGGCCCAAAAGGAGGCAGAGTATTGTCCTAGAAGCTGTCACTAAGGAAATGACATCGGGGTTGGGCTGGAAAGGGCCGAGCAAAAGGTACTTACAGAGTGGAGAGAACCGCATGAGCAAAGGTGGGAGTGGCATACACAGGGTGTGTCTCATCGCTGGCATTGATCTCGCTGCCAGGGTGAGAAGAGGGACCATACAGGCGAGGAGCCCACATGAGGGGAAAGGCAGGGCTGACTGGCTGATCAAAGCCACGTACTCGAAGGTCCCTGCGTAGTTATGGCTTATTAGTTCATACTCCACCCCTTAGCACAGTGTAGAGCCATCCAGAGGCCTTGCAGGCTGCAGACCTACCTGGTTGACAGTCCCCGTTCTGCATTATCCCTGGTTTATTCCTGGCTTCCATCTTCCTCCAGAGCCCTCCGGACCAAGGCGAGGCCAAGAATGCTCAGGCAAACCCACCAGCTAAAATGCTCCCACCCAAGCAACCCATGTACGCCATGCCCGGCCTGGCTTCCTTCCTGACGCCCTCCGACCTGCAGGCCTTCCGCACAGGAGCCTCTCCTGCCAGCCTTGCCAGGACGCTGGGCTCCAAGGCCCTGCTGCCAGGCCTCAGCACATCCCCGCCACCACCCTCCTTCCCTCTCAGCCCCTCACTGCACCAGCAGCTGCCACTGCCCCCCCACGCACAGGGCACCCTCCTCAGCCCGCCTCTCAGCATGTCCCCTGCCCCTCAGCCTCCTGTCCTGCCTGCCTCCATGGCGCTCCAGGTGCAGCTGGCGATGAGCCCCTCACCTCCAGGGCCACAGGTAAGCAGGACCAAGCAACAGCCTCCTGTGACTCTCACCAAGAGAGAAAGCAGCTGGTGGGGTGCATATACTAGCCGGGCCGCTCACCAACTGTGTAACCTCCGCCATGACACCGTACCTCTCTGAGCCTCAGTTTCCAATTCTCTGAAATGGGTCTAGAACACCTGCCCTGAGAGACACTGGCTACCTCAGGCAATTGATTAGTTGCCAGATAAGCTTTGTTCCAGAGCCTTCTCTTAGACCACTGTGACCTCTGCCAGATTGTCCCAGCTCCTTGCAATCTCCAAAGCCCCAGCCTCCAGTGATGGTTCCACAAATGGTTCTAAGACATGCATCACAGCACAGTAACCCCATTTTACAGATTGGAAAAAACCCAAAAGCAAAGTCACCCCCTTCCCAGACTCAGCTGAGACAGGGGTTGGATTTTCTTTTTCACGCTTTCTTTTCTTTTTTCCTTTGTCTTGCTGGGGATGGAAGCCAGAACCTCACACACACCAGGCAGAAAGTCCCTCACTGAGCTGCACAGTCAACTCAGATTGAATTTTCCCAAAGATCTTCCACCAGGGAGAAAGGGGAAGAGGCAGAGTGGCCATTCTGTGTGGACCCAGAACATGTCTCTGAAGTGTAGACACCCTCAAACACACAAAGATGATGCCAGCTGCTGGAGAGGTCCCCCTTTCTCTCTGCTCCTCTCACTGCCCCCTCCTTCCCCTGTAGGACTTCCCACACATCTCCGAGTTCCCCAGTGGCTCAGGCTCCCGCTCACCTGGCCCATCCAACCCTTCCAGCGGCGGGGACTGGGATGGGAGTTACCCCAGCGGGGAGCGCGGCCTCGGCACCTGCAGGTCAGTCCTCCCCAGACCCCCTTCCCTCTTCATTCCTGATAGGGGGCAGGGGAGGACAGGGAGACAGTGGGGGACTGTGAAGTAGGTACCATCAACCCAAGTGGTGGATGCTTAGAGTACAGGAAACAACACAGAGCAAAGCAAAGCCCGGCGGGGGCCACAACTGACTGGATATGAGGTCTGAGTATTTAGTGGACAGTGGCATCTCTGTCACCAGGCAGTGTGTCCCGCATCCCTGGCCACCAACCAGCCTTTCAGCATGGGTTCCTTGCTTTGCCCAGCCTGCTAGTGCTCCGGCACTTCATGAACCCTGCCCTTGCTCCCACCCCTGACCTTCCAGGGAGAGCCTTTGTGGGTATGCAGACTCGGTGGGCAGGGATCCCTCCATTGCCCAAGCAGGCACAGACTCTCCAACCCTTTCCCTTCTACTGTTTCCCTTCCCAAAAGTCAGGTCCCAGGAGGAGTAAGTTCTTTGTATCTGAACTTCCTAAGGCTGGCCCTTCTCCCCTGAGTGAGAATGTTTGATCCACAACAGCCTCTTCTAGTCTTTCTTGTTAAATGTGGAGTCTTTCTACGTAGCCCAGGCTAGCTTTGAACTTGTGAGCCTCCGGCCTCATCCTCCCACAGGCACAGGCCACCATATTTGGCTTGCCCTGTGCTGTATTCTGAAGACAGAAAGGTGTCTGCCTTTCTGTGGTTCTGTTTGAAATGTACAAATGATGTTGTGATTAACGGTAGACATGGTGGGGGTGCTTGATGTGTATCTCTGTTGGGAGAGTGTTTGCCTAGAATGCATGAAGCCCTGGGTTCGATTCCCCAGCGCCACTTAAACCTGGTGTGGCGATGCATACCTAGAGTCCTAGGACTTGGTGGAGATTGGGATGGAAGCCTGAGAATCAAAAGTTCTAGGACATTCTCAGCTGCATCTCGAGTTCATGGGCAGCCTGGGATACAGAAGATCCTGTCTCAAAAGACAAACACAACAGATATGAAGCAAATTAAACAAACAAACTAGATGGTCCCTGGTAGAATGCCAGGAGGGGTTCGTGGTTCTTGATAGGCAGCCCCTCCTTCAACCTAAGGGATGGCTGATCAGAAGGAGGGACACAGGCCCAGGGCACAGGGTGGGCTCCTGTAGCTGACAGCCCCCTACTCTCTCCTGCAGCCTGCTCCCAAGGGATAAATCGCTCTACCTCACCTAATCCCGCCTCCCCTCCCTCCCTGAGGCTCTCCGGAGGGCACTGCTCCGAGCCGGAAGGGCTGACCACAGGAGAGAGGCCATGGCAGCAGGCAGGGTGACCGGCCAGCAGTGATACACCTATGCCCCAGGGCTGAGTCTCTCCCTCGACCTCCCACCAGACTCTGCAGAGGCAGCCCACCGCCCACCACCAGCCCAAAGAACCTGCAGGAACCTTCTGCCCGCTGACCTGCTTGCTCCAGGGTAGCTGTGGACCCCACTCCTTGGCCTGCACACAGTCCCCTGCGTCTGGACTTCTGGCCCCAGCCCAAGCTCACCGGGCTGCCCCCCCTCGAGGTTGCTTAGCAACAGACACCCACCCCAGAAGCTGGGCCAGCTACAGGTGTGTTCTCGGTGGTGTACACAAAAGATCCTGAAACCCGCGCACTGTGGGTTCCGTGTAAGTAGTTCACTGTTTTAGAACCGTGCTGAAGACATCTGTAAGATTATTTTGCGGGGAGAAAGAAAGTTTCTTTTAAGGTTAAAAAAAAACAAAACGAAACAAAACATTTTATAAGACCTTTAGCACATTTTTTTTTTTTTAAGTTTTATCTTAAGGGAGACGTACCCAAACAGCTGTCAAACTGATTCTTATCTGCACACAGAGAGAATGGGAGCTTTTAAAGCCACACCCAGGGACATTCTTCTCCTCCTTCTCTTCCTTCTCTTCCTCCTCTTTCATCTTCTTTCCCTTCCTCTTCCTCCTCCTCTTTGTGTTCTTATTTTTCCTCCTCCTTCTCCCTTCTTCCTTTTTTCTTTTTTCTTCTTTATCATATATCCACCTATTTAAAATCTCCAGCAACAATTTTGGCCATCTATTTATGAAGAAAAGTTGAGAACAATGGTGTGGTTTCTCCTAATGTGTGTGTGGTTTGGGGTTTGGGTTTGGTTTAAGCTTTGGTTCATGTTGTTCGCAGCTGTCTCCTGGCCCTTGCAATGTCTGTCCTGGTGCCCCAGTGCTTCGCTCAGACCTCTTTGTAATAAAACTTCTGAAAAGTGGCAAGCAAACCTGTGTTGTCCAGCGCTTTTTCACCCAGGCCTGGTTACCCTATTCCCAAAACCAGATAACGGAGCAGCAAATAAAGGAATGGTACCCAAATGTCCCTGATGACGCAAACACAAAAACTTGCAATACAGTTTTTGCAAATAGAATTCAAGAACACATTAAGGGCTGGCAGGATGGCTCAGCTGGTAAAGGTGGCAATCTGAGTTTGAGCCCGAGACCCACATGGTGGATGGAAGGAACTGATTCCTGGAAGTTGTCTTCTGACCTCTACACACAAATAAATAGTGTAACTATAACTGTTTAGGGAGATCTAAGGACACATTAAAAGGATCATATATCATGACCAAGTTGCTTTCATTCCATGGCTGCAAGATTGGCCCTGCATCTGAGTGAGGCATGTGGCATGTGGTGGTGGCTTCACTAGGTCCAAGTTTCTTCTGAGGGCAGACTAGGACTTCTGTCACTCACCTGTCACTCACCAGCATGGGGGCCTGTGTACAGGCAAAACACATCCCTGACCTCAGCTACAGCATAGATGGAAGGAGATAACAACCCTGTTAGTTTTGTGGCACAGAGTAACTGCTCAGTAAACCTGTGTTGAAGGGGTGGAAGCTATCATACCTAGTGTGTGAGGGTATATGAGAGTCAACCTTGGGCTTTCCAGGTGAGATCTAGCTCTCCAGCCACTGACAAGCATTGCTAAAATCCCAGTCAGTGCATCCTGGAAAACACTGGTGTTTTCAATATGCACAGTCATGTTTTGTATGATTTCATTGTGGGGCTGGCATGTGTCTCTCTGTTTGCCTAGCATACCAGACACCCTAGGTTCCGCTCTCAGTACCACATAAAGATAAATAATTTTTTAAAAAAAGTTGCTGGTGTGAAATAGAGCTGACTACGCAATATAGACATGAACATAACATCTGAAGGGAAATAGTAACAGGACAGTGCCACAGGCTTCTGGCAGTGATGAGTGGGTCTCTCTCTGTGCATGGAGTTCCACCCTCAGAAACACACATCAGCTAGTGACAGAGAGCCCAAGGCACAGGAGGCTTTTCTTCAAACCTTCCTTCAGGAAGCATTCTAGACCCAAAACTCCTTAACCCAGGCTCCCCAGCAGCTGCTAGGTGGTGACACTTTAAGGTAGTAATTGTCACAAGTTGAACTCTATGGGGAAGAATGACAGGGAGGGGTCGGGAGGCTGCTGTCAGATCCCATGACACAGCTCTTGGTTTGGTTCTCCAGTATTTGACGTAGGCTCTTTGAAACAGGGGCAGATGTCCTGCTCCAGACAGAGGAACCCACATTCACATCACCCTGGAACCTCTCATTGCCCCTGCGGGCCACACCCCTCATCCAGAGGATGCCTAGATGCCTAGGCTTGCTGAGAGCGGTTTCCTCTCAAGGGCATGTTGTAATCCTCCTGGGAAAGAGACAGAAGAAAACCTCAAACAAAGCCAATCACCACAGTTGCATCAACACAACCCAGCAACGTGGAACACAAACCTTCAATGAAGCTACAATGTCCTTTCTGTGTGGAACTTGTTGGTGCCATAGTGATGGCTTTCACATATCTTGCTTTTACCAGGCACCACTAGATCAACAAAGGTAGTCCCAAGTCAGCAGAACCCGGGGCCAGGAGAGTCCAGCAAGGTGCGCCCCCATCTTCATTGGTGTGCAAACTATTGGGGCCATTTACAAGCAAGTTGTGTGCCTGGGCTGGCCTCTTGGGTGCTGAAGTGAATGCCAACTGTCTTCTTCCATTTGAGCCACCATAGCAGAGCACATAGGTGGGCCCACCGCCAAAGACATCTTTGCTCAAAGCTCTGGAGGCTGGTAAGGCCAAGATGCTGGTGAGAACCAATTCCCAATCATAGACAACTGCCTTGTGCCTTCACACAAGGCACCAGGTAACTGTCTGGGGTCTACTAGGGCACAAATCCCAATAATGAGGGCCTTATCTCTAGACTTTATGGTCCTCCACAACCCCCACCTCCACATTCTGTGACACTGAGAGCTAAGGTTCCAACACACTACTCTGGGAGGCAGAGGGGTGAGAGGCAGACTTGTAGTGTATAGCACCAAATATAGTGGGTGTTGTGTGCCCTAGGTCTCCTTCATTGGCAGCTGCTCCCCCTCATAGTGACACCTGTGTCCCAGAAGAGGACAAAGTGCCCCTGGAGCTGCCCAAGCTAATGGTCTCTGAAAGGTTCAGGCATTATGCTGGCCTGCCCCTGTTACCTGGTGGAACAGGCAATACCCTGGTCAGCCCAAGGTTCTATGGGAACTAAGTCTGCACGCAGGTGCAGAGGACACCTTTAAAAAGACAGATCCCTGCCCATTTACTCTCTCTGCTTCCTCTCTCTTTCTCACCTATGCTCTCTCTCTGCCTCTCTATGGCGACCGGCCATGGCGGTCAGTCATTTATCCTGTTCCTCTCCTCTTCTTAGTCTCCCCACTCTGCCGGGCCTTATAATAAACTTATAGCCAACATGTCTCATGTCTCAGCATTTCTCTTTTCTTCCTTTTAAACAAAAGAATAACAGTCTCAGCAATAAGAAGCCTCGCTGTGAAGGTCGCTTGCGCAGGGTCTCAGGAGCCTGGTCCTCCCTTAGCTGCAGGCCTGCTGCCCCAATGCCTCCCTCCTCTCTGAGAACCCCACTCAGCCAGAATCTACATCTGAGGTCCTGTGTGTTTCTATGTGAGCAGACTCCGGATGCCATCTGGGTTCATGGCCACAGTAGGGCCACAACCATGGTGCCCACAACTGTAGTTGTTTCTGCACACACAAATGTCAGCCTGGGAACTTCAGCCCAAGCCCAAGCCTTGGGAAGTGGAGTCCACTACTGTCCACTCCCTTCTGCAGTGGTCACAGCCACACCCCATGCTGTGGGTTGTCCCCGGGCTCTGCATCCCACAGCTGTGGCACGGGTAAGAGACTCTCACAGCTGCAGCACCCTCCACAACACCTGTGTGTCACACCTTGGGAGCACCGCCGGTCTGTGGTCTGGACCTAGGGTGTCAGGAACCGAGAACAATTCCACTAGAGAATTTTTCGGGGTCCAAACCTCCGGTTCCAGTATACAGGAGCTCCGGTCTGCACTGTATTGCAGATGCTAGCTGATTTGCTTTTGGATGACATAGCCTCAGTGGAGAATGTCCCCTAGTTTTGCATCTCTACAGAGCTGGGCATTTGCATAGGCCTGCACCAGGGCAGAGGGCGAGGTCTACATGAGGAGAGACAGTTTGGAGGTATCGGCGGGGAAGGTCGAGAGAGAGGTGGAGGTGAAAAGGTCTTGGGGTCAGAGAGAATGGTTAGAAAGCAGTTAAGGAAAATGCTGGAATAAAGGGGAGACTCCAGTCTGCAGCATGGGACTGAGAGTTCTCTAAAGATGACAAGATGCCTGTGTCTAGTCTTTATCGCCGTTGGGTTGCTAGGAATTTCCAAGTCCACAGTCCCCCACTCAGGCCGACCTCATGGCTTCTGTCGTTTGGGAATGAGACATGCTGGGTCATGAAAGAAGGGAACCCCAGCATGAGACAATTATTCCTGCTGTCCTCCTACCCTACAGGAAGGCATGGCTGGCCCTGAGATGGTCCAGTGACCTCTTCCTTCTGAAGGGACCGGATTATCCATATTAGAGTGTGGGCATCATGCACGAGAATTTCAGCGTTCACTCAACTGCTTGTTCATCAAGAATGAAACTGAGAGCCACCCTGCCTGTCCTCACTGGGCCACGGGGACACCAATCAGAAAGGGGCACAGATTTTGTCTCTAGTGGCTTTAGAAACACTAATGCTAACTGTTTATAGAGTTGTAACCTTATATACTAAGTCACATATACAGAAAATTAAAAAATACCATGTGCCTGCTGCCAAAGGGGGAACGAGGAGAAGGCAGAGATGTTCAGTCCATCTGAGATCTTGGCAATTTCCTTGGGGAGGTGGCATCTGAGATGTGCCTGAACCGAAGATTAGGGTTTGTGTGGCAATGGGATTTGGTTAGGGTTGGCTTTGGGCTGAGTTTAGAGTTGGAGTTGGGGTGGGATTTGGGGTTGGGCTAGGGTTAAAGAATGAGGTTGAGTTTGGATTCGAGTTACAGTTGGAATTTTGGTTGGATTAGGGTTGGAGGTGGTATGTATTGGGTTGGGGTTGGGCTAGGGCTAGAAATGGTATTGTTGGT